GGGGAATTTTTTCATAAACTAATAGTATGGTTTCAATCCAATTGTAAGATTTTTATGTCATCTACTTTTCTCTTGTTATCATTGTAATAAAATAAAATGTGTGTATTAGTAATATTGTTTCCAAAAATATGAATACAAATATTTTCATTTGTATTAACTTTTATTGTCTTCTAAATTATGTTATATGAGCACATTCCTGAGTCGTCTAATGAGTAAGTAGCTCAGGTCAGTAAGACAATTTCAGACAGACTTGCATTCCAAAGTAAAGCAACATTGCCATTCTTTTCTATACACATTTTCCTTAGCACACACTTTTTAAAAATATACATAAATTTTATAATTAAAAACCTTTTTATAAAGCATGATATATAGAATTTTGAATATTTCTTTGTGAAAATCTTCAAATTTTAATAAATTGAACACATCTGCAATGATACAGCTTAAGAGTGTATGGCTTGGGCATGTTGACTCCTGCACACACATGAAGTTCAAAGGTCAACCAGAGGCAGGATCCTTATACTACAAACATGGTAAAATTAGCATGAACACACTATGCAGAAAAGCTTTCAAAAATTGAAAGTTGAAATTGTTGTTCTAAAGAATAATGTAAGAGAAGCAAGTTATCCGGAGAAAGTGGCAAATCTGTTCAACCAACACTTTTCTAGAATTGCGGCTGAGCTCTCAAAGGGCATAAAACCACCAAAATTCAACGTCATTCCCTTCCCAAAAAATGTTTGACATGGCGTGTATTTCCGAAACGTCTAACGAAATCCTGAGAATAGTCAGTAAACTAAAAAGTAAATATTTATCTGATTTAAATGAATTTCTAGATTGTTTATTGAAAACTTGTGTACCTGCCTTTATACCCCCGTTAACTTACATTTTCAATGGTTCTTTAGGCACAGGAATATTTCAAGATATTTTCAAAACAGCAAAAATAAGGCACTTTTTAAAAAAATGAACAAAAATGAAATTCAAAATTACTGGCCAATTTCTCCTTTGTCAGTTTTCTCAAAAATATTAGAGAGCTTTTTCTATATGTGAACAAAAATTTTACTCCGGAAAAACAATGCGTTACAAAACAGACTCGCAACGCAGTTTTAGAAAATCAAAATCTTCGGAAACTGCCATTTTTTTCTTCTCTTAAAGATGTTGCTTCATCAATGGACCAAAATGAAGCACCCATTGAAATTTTTTATATTTTTCGAAAGCTTTTGATGTTTTTGACCATCTTGCTATCGGAATTCATGATATCGCCATAGATTAGATAACCTCATAACTTAAACATCGATCTCAAACTTTAGTAAACCGTAGTAGGGACATTATTTACTTATCTTTCTAATTCTTTACCAATTGAATATGGGGTCTCACAAGGTTCAATCTTAGGTCCTATCCTCTTTGTTATATGTAAACGATATGCCCTCATCTATTAAAAACGGTAGAACCGCACCATGGCATGAATGTTCGTTGCAAAAAGAAAGAAATAAATAGCACAGTTTCGTAAGTTTCAAATTGGTTTTGTAATAACAAATTAATAGTTAACGAAGGAAAAAGAGTTTCAATCCATTTTTGCATTTCAAATCAGCAATTGCATGCTCCATTGAAAATGAACAATATGCAATTAGCTGGTGTTAAGCTGGTCTTAGTCTCTCAATTCAGTCAAACCTAAAATGGAATGTTCACATAACAGATTTTGACAACACAACTTTCATGCAGCTCATCGCGTGTTTTTTGCAATCATGTTTTGTGCATTATCCCGCCAGGGATAATGGCATAACATTCTGGGGAAGCTCGTCATGTAGTTCCCAGATCTTCAAATTGCAAAAGAAAATTATTGGAATAATGAAAAATTGCCATCCGTGTGATGCCTGCAATCCTCTCTACATTGAGCTTGGAATCTTACCATTGCCTTGCCTATTTATTTACGAATCTGTAATATTTGTCAAATGACTTACTTATCAATGGAAACTGTTTTTCATGCAATACTGATATTAATGATTACAAATCACGTTCATTAAGTGTCAGTATTAACAGCTCACTACCAGAAAATTCACATACAATACATGTATGTTACTTTACAATGTCTTGCCAGATGACATTTAACAATTGAAGTCGGTACACAAATTTAAGTTAAAAGTATAATCTTTTCTGCTGCTTAATTGTTTCTATACTATTAGAGACTATATGAATCATCAAAAAGAAAAATGATGTTTATTTTAACAAAACTGTGATATATAATGAATTAGTTTACATTTGTATTGTAAATTTTTTTAAAAAAGACTTAATATGCTTGTAACAAAAAATGTACTTCAGCTTCCGTGTCAATGACCCCCATCTCGATCAGCTTTTTGTCTAGTTTCCCTTATACATTGAGCAAATGAAATGGACCCTTGTTTTGCTTCTGGATGTAATCAAAGAAAACCTCTTTCAACAAAATATGTTATTAAGCACTTGTGTCATAGATTATACAGGATTTGTTGGATAAGAGCTCAAAAATACTGTCTTTAAAGCAATTTTTCAGTTTCACAAACAAAGTTTATCTTTGATTTTACATATGCATTTAAAATGACTTATTCATGGTTATGAATAACAATGTTCATTGACCTTCCTCATGATTTAATGGCTTACTAGGGCAGGTTTTCTAAATTTATACATTAATGTACCTTTAAAAAAGTTTATGTTATTACACTTTTGAAAAATGTGTAAACAAAAAAGTGACAGTAATAAATAGTTCAAAAATAAAAAAAAAATATAGGTTTTTCGTGATTAAAAAGTACTCTTTTTGCTTTATATGCTGTCAAAGTTTAATGTTGGAGGCCCTGGACGCTTGCCTAGCCCTGTCTATTGGTATTTAAGGAGGATTCAAAGGAAACAAAAAATTTCAAGATTTGCAAATTTATAAACAATTTTCAACTTTTACAGATCTAAAGAGAGGAGAGTCCCCCGATGTCCCAGAGCCGAAACACGCGAAATAACAATTTTTAAATAATTTTTTTAATAAATAAATTCTAAAAATGCGCTTGAATGGTCCCAACACATTGTGTAGAAAAGGAGTCAAGTTTATTTGGTCACCGGCTTGCTACTGTAGCGTCACGGCCTGCATCAGCTCAGCGCTGAAGCGCAAGGTAGAAAGGGTCGAGGGCTGTAAGGGCTCACTCCCACGTCGCGACGGCGGTGCGCTTCCGAGCGCCGCGGCTCGTGGCAGAGCATTGGCTTGAATGGAGACCTTCGCACGTGCGGCGGGCGGGCGCTGCTGCGGCAAGCAGCGGAGAGCTCTTGCTACACGAAGCGGAGGAGGGCGTACGCGCCACCGCTAGCAGAATACAGCTTTAAATGGTAGCCTTCCCACTGTGCCGCCGGTCGCTGCGTTTAACCTGCTGCGAATTTGTTCGACGTCGCCGGAGAGTCGGCGAAACCTACCCCTGCAGAACCCACCCCTTCCATGGCGGGCGGCGGTGCGGCCGTGGCTGCAGCGGTGGTGGCGTCGGAAGGGCTCTGCTGCTTGACGGAAGCGCGCCGCCCTCACGACGAGGGAAGGCGCCCTAAAAGCCGCCCGAACAAAAGGCTGGAATTTCAGAAGACACGAGACCGCGTGCAAAGACAACGCCAGAGATGTCTCTATCCAGCGCGTGGGTGGTAGAAATGACGTGGGGGTCATGTGACTCGCGCCTTTATAACATCGTGTCGCGATTGGGTAGCTACTAACCCGATCAATGGGCCACGTATAGGCGTCCGAAACAGTTTCTGGAGTAAGAGTAATCTGAAACAGAGAAAATGAGGTATGAAACATAAACTAAGTGATTCTACACGCGCAATGCGCGCGCCAGTAAGTCATTTTTGACCTGTTTTTCTTAAAGTTGCAGGATTGGCCGTAGATGCCCGTAAGGGTAAGAATGGACTCACCGCAGTGGCGTGAACGTGCATTGCACTTTCCGTGCGTTCACAAGACTGCACAAAGAAGTCTTGGGCGAGTGGGGAACAACTCTGGTTTCCTCGTGGCAAGTCCAGAAAACTTTGTCCGCCCAGGATGGTGCGGAGTGCCGATGGCACATGGTGGTTCGATGTGTTCGGACTAGGCGACGTGTTCCTCGTACGCAGTCAGGCTGATTGTCGATCTGCCGGGGCTCACCAGCTACCAATTTCTGAGGCGGCCTTCCAGGCCTGTCGCAGGCGTCGCCGCAAGGCGCATCTAGGGAGAGGGGGATTGCAGTGGTAGCTCTAACCAACCGCCTTACGAGAGATGTTTTGTATATATGTACATCTATGTAAATAAACTTGTATATACTCGCTCTTGTCTGTTTTCCTTGTGGCGTAGGTACCTACCCACGACGTTACACTACTCTGCTTTCGAAAAGCAACCAAGCTCCGAGAGTTTGATCCTCGCAGGACGCTCGTACTAGCAACGGATGCCTCAGATTACGGGATAGGGGACGTTCTCTCCCAAAAGGATGAGCTAGGAGCTGGAACCCAATAGCATTTGCATTCAAAACTCTGAATGTACATCAATGCAGGTGTACACAAGTAGAAACAGAGGCCTTGGAGTTTATTTTTAGTGTGAGAAAATTTAACGAGTACCTATTCGGCGACAACTTTATCATTATTACGGATCACATGCCGGTAGTAAAGCGTTTCCACCTATCGAAGAAGAATAAACAACACTCTATGTACGGTGCGGAGATGGGCGCTATTTTTAAATGATTACAACTACATTTGATTCAGAAGAACAGCGTAGCATGGAAAAGCGGATGCCTTGTCCAGACTACCAGTGTGCGCAGACAGCAAGTTCGATTAGCAGATAGAGTGCCTACAAATTGACAAGCAGGAAGAAGACGCAGTGGACCGTGGATCGGCGTACGATTGGGGCACATGAGCCCCGACATGGAACTGGCGAGAATAAGAAAATTCGTTAGGTGAGGTATCAGGGAGCAAGGGGACAAGATTAAAGAGTTATAGAGAAAAAATAAAAGCTGTCAGAAAAATAATTTTCGGGCCTCCAAAGTTAGCACAAGGTTAGAAGGTTGAAAACTTGATGAGTTTTAATCAGGGACCGAAAAGGTATTGAATATCGGTAAAATACCGGTATTTTTTCAAACCTCTATCAAATACCGTTATAGGATGTCTATACTGTTATGAACGCCCATAAAGGTTATACCGGTATTTTCAATGGAAATAATGTTGCTCACACCATCCACACAGAGAAAATAACTTCCTTTTGTTAATGATTTTGCGAAATGCTTTGTAATTAAAGATAATGCGCGCACGTCCGCTCACACACGCCACCGACACTCATGCCTCGACATACTTGCGTGCGTGCGCCTCTGTCTCTCTCTCTCTCTCTCTCTCTCTCTCTCTCTCTCTCTCTCTCCTC